ATATATATATATATATGCTATTTACACCAGCCTCAGGGCAGCCTGCAAAAGGCTTCAACCAGCAAGCCCTGCTATTACCAACGATAAATAAGCATTATCGATTTTTCGGTATGTTTAAAATTCTTACCGTTTTGTACACATTTTGAACACGTGCGATGATGACCTGGTGTGCCATAGTCGACAATGTGCAATAAAGTTTGTTAGCGTTTCCCAACGAACTTCTTCCAGCCAATTATATTTCATGGGACTCACATTTTCTTGATTATCGGAATTATTGCAAATGTTAGCCTTACTTCAACCTTTAATTATTGCAGTTTGAAAAAAAACACACATCGGTTAAAGCGGAGTAGGTCTTTAAAAAGGGATGGTATACGATTAAAACTCGCAATTAAAGTAGCTTTCGGGATCCATAGGTCCATTGCGCCCCTTTTACCTATGTTAAATATAAACGCACACCCACTTCCCGCTCAATTATGTAATTTACGAAAATTCTGAGGCCTTGTGGCAAGACAAAGTAAATATTGCTGTTGTACAAGGTTCTTTATGGCTTTATAATCTGAAGTGACTTCAAAATAATTGTGTGGATCCAGTTCATGTATGCCGCTTTTCTTTTAACGTAATCCTAAGCCGAAGTGATTGGTTTTCAAAGCCACAGTTCGAAACTTCCTTGCTCCAACAAAGCTATGTTTCCTTTTAGATGGAAGAGCAACGGGTTCCGGAGACTCGAGTCCAACTCGATCAGAGACTTTTGTCAGGTTAGTCCACATATTATGATCCAAGCTACCAACCGTAGGAATCCCGACAGGAAAAAAATCATCTGACGAAAGTTTCACTATTAATTTTGGTGACTTGGATTCATTGAATCACCTCACTCCTGGTGTACACCTGCCAAATCGAGTTGAAACCACAAAAACCGTTCGCATCCAGTCAGAATACTCGACAGATCCTTCAACATATGAGGTTCCCTCATTTTCAACGAAGTTTGCAGGCGGATCTCTGCAATTGCATCCAGGCTCTACCTCACACAAGTCGAGGAGCTCTTCGTATGAGGCCCTCGGGCCTAAGGTTACAAGCAGTCGACTCGAGGGTACCTTTCATTCAACTCCAAAACTTTCGGAGAACAAATCGTTCGTATTGTCTTCCTACTCCCCGGTTTTAAACGCAGTAGTACCCAAGAGCCAAAGTACGACCACACGCCCGTCCTCAACCAGTTCAACTAGTCCTCCATTTCAAATTGGCACTTCTTTTAAAATATCTAAAACGTCAAAGTCGAGTGGTCACATAAACACCCGTCAGTATTTGGCTCCGCTTAGACTATCTACTAAGGAGTCATCTGAATTGAGTGATCTACCAATAAAGAGCCCTCCTAGCCCAGACGAAGTAACTTGCGACTCGGGCCTAGGCGACCCATACCTAAACGAGGAGGACAGACTGCGGTCGCATGTTGCCCAGTTGGAGGGCCGTTTGCAAGTTTATACCAAGGAAACTGAGACATGGTTGCGCGAACGAGCGGAACTATTTACAGAGGCATCTTCTCTGCGAAAACGCCTTGAAATTGCCCAGAAAAACTACGAGGAGGTTAAGGAAAAGCATCAGTTGAAAGTGGGTGAGATGAAGACTCGAACGGAATGCGCGGAGGGTGAGTTGCAGCAGCTAAAGATTAATTTATCCCAGAAATGTCAGGAAACTGGAGAACTAGCCAAGAAACTAACCGCTGCCCAGCAGGAAATCGCATCACTAAAGAGTCAGTTAACAGAGGTTCAACAGAAGAGTGCAGCTAAGGACCAGGCTATTGAGAGCCTAAAGGAAAAGTTAGCGCAGCTTCATGCTGACGTAGAATCGTTTCGATATGCTCACTCCCAAATGCTTGAGAGTAAGACCGACCTAAGCGCCGAACTCTCGAGTCTGAAACAATCACAGGAGTGGTATAGCGAACAGTTACAACTCACTCAGGCGGCCAGAGATCGCTTACAAAATGAACTGCTGGCCACACAAAAATGGCTAAATGAGGGTGGCACTTCTGCACAGCACCTAGTTCAAGAAAACGCTCGTCTCGAGACAAAACTTCTATCCAGCGAAGCGGCCCTTGCTGACGCCAAGCGGAACCTGTCGCGTCAATTGGAGGCTATTCGTGCTGACATTTGGGAACGTGAGTCTGTTTTCGAAAAGCTTGTAGCGGAGCGGAGTTCCCTCGAGTCCTTTTGTCAACAAAAGAGCGCGCAGCTCTCAGACTGTCAGGCCCGTATTAAAGCCCTGCAGAACAATCTGGCGGAGGCCGAAAATGAATCATCGAGCCATAGGACATCTCTGGAGAAGTTGAATTACACGTTGCAGACCGT